AAGGGCTTAAAAAGCTTGTTTTGGTTTATTCTCATGGTATTTAGACAGTAGTTTTCACTCCTGGAAGGGGCACCAACCTTGTCGTTTCTCTCACAGAGAAACTTGAGTCTCTGGGCCCTCTTGTGCATGAAGACTCCGTCCAGGTGGCCGGTCTCCACCGAGCGGATCTCTATGGCCTTCTCCCCCCAGCCCATGATCTGGTTGGAGCGGATGTAGGCTGTGGGTGGGGGGGGAGGAGAAGCGGGGTCAGTAGGAAGAAGGCTTAAGACTTTCCTTTATGATAGAGCTAATAGTTAGGGTAAGTCCACCCCTAGTTATGCTGCTATAGGCCTAGTCTGCCGGGGGATTTCCCATGATGCACCGGGCTCCCCTCTCCTTTCTCTCTCTCCCTTAGTAACGATGTTACTAACAGGACTCTCTCCCTTTTCCGTAGTCGTGTGCTTTCTCGTCCCTCTCCTCTCCCCTCCCATCACTTCCTGTAGGTGTTCCTAGAGCTGTGGAAGCTGGATCTGTGATTCCTACTCTGCCACAATTACAGCCACTGTTCATAGTCTCATTGCTATCTTTATCACTGCTATCATTAGCATTAGTATCAATATCATTGCCTTTTTTCATCTAGTCATGTGTTGCTGTGTAGGCTGCCTCTCCATCCTTCTCTCTCTCTTGCCCTCTCTTTCTCTCAGCCCCAACCGGCCGAGGCAGATGCCCCCCCACCCTTAGTCGTGGTTCTGTTCGAGGTTTCTGCCTGTTAAAAGGAAGTTTTTCCTTCCCTGGGTCGCCTAGTGCTTGCTCTTGGTGGAAATTGTTTGGTTTCTGTAATTAACTTCAGAGTAGGGTCTGACCTGCTCTGTTTGGAAAGCTGTGAGATAACTGTAGTTGGGATGTGGTGCTATAGATATAAAATTGAATTGAAATTAAGGAGGTGCCTCCCAATGGGGGGGGGGGACTCACCCACGGAGGTGGGCATCTCCCCCCACTGCAGCACCACGTCTTTGGTGATGCGTCCGTAGGTGTTGACGTAGACGCCCTCGTCCTCGTAGCACACCAGCAGCTCGATGCCGTCCGTGTTGGGCAGGATGATGATGGCGTGCGACTGGATGCTGGTTTGGATCTGGATCCCACACAGGGTCAGGTATCAGATATCCACACGGGAAAACGGGAGACTCAGAGTGTGACCCTTTAAGCCTTTAAGTGTCAAACTATGGCCAAATACCAAATGACTACGAGAGCTGGCCCCCGGTATTATACTGTACAGACCATTTAACGGCTCGTACTACAACTCCCATAATGCCCTGCTGCTGTTCAGGACTGGACCCAGAAACTCCTCTGTGACAGTAGCTACACACTACAGCTGTCACTGTGCTAAACTTCCCAAAAATGACCAAAAGAAAGGCTGAAAACAGGAGCTTTCTGGACAAGCTCAATTTATTTTGATATTTAATTCAGAAGGCTGTGAATAGAAAAGTGTTTTAAATTTTTATTTCATAAATTAATGCCAGTGATTTGTTTTTTTATGTGAAATTTGATTTTGCATGTCTCCAATATTAAGTTATATATAATGTAATAAGAGTTGCATGTTCCAAATTCAATGTTAAAGAAAAATTTGTTTGGTTCCACATTAAAAAGTTCCTTTATTCAATCTTGGCCCTACGACTTTGTTCAGGTTTTAAAATTTGGCCCACTAGGTTTTTGAGTTTGGCACCCCTGGTTTAATCTATCTATCTATCTATCTATCTATCTATCTATCTATCTATCTATCTATCTA